CTGTTTTTTTTTTTTTTTTTGAGGCATTAGATTATTGGTCAGATCCATTATTTTTTATATTAATCTACGAGGACCAATGCAAGCTCGTTTAGTTGAATTTCTGATGTTTTTTGTGGCTCTATGTTTTGAACAAGACCATGCACGCATTGTACTGCAAATTTGTCAAGAGATATTTTTAAAATTATATATAAAATATGTAACAATTGCGTATACATGAGATCTGAATATTCAAATTCACAAAATCATAAAAATTCTTGAGGCTTTGATTATGTACAATTTAGGTACCTTCTTTCATAAGGGAAAAAAGAAAAAAAGAAAGTACCATCTGTTCTTTTTTACCAATATGATTATCCAAGAAATATGAAAAATAGTATTGATTGTGTTAAAAGTATTTCTATTGTAATTTAATTAACTCTAATAATTAAAATGTAATCAATTTAAAGATAATTTTTGCCAAAAAAAAAATCGAATTCAGACTGAAAAGTTTCAGAATTGACTAATTTGAGTGCAATTTTGCCTGGAAATTAATACGAATTTAAGCTAAAATTTAATGGGGATTGGGGGAGTTGGCATGATGTGGCAATTAGACGGTTCCAATTCCTATCGAAAATTGTCACATCATAAGCACATGGTTTTTACTTTCTTGTTGAAATTCAAATTTACGGCCAAAATGATCTTACATTTTGTTCGATTTACAAATATTTAGTTGAAGTTCTATTATTTGGCAAAAAATATTTTCAAATTAGATCAATGTAAAAATTAGTAGGGCTACTATTGAAATTTGTCAATTTAAAGTAAATCAAAATGAATTCTAATGATGTTATTACTTTTTAAACATTCCTAGAGTTAAAAGGATTACTTTTAAAATTTACAACTCCATCTTATTTATGTTATAAATTTGAAACACTTTTATTTATTTATTTTTATTTTTTTGTTATAGATAATACTCATCATGAATCCATGCATGTCCATGTGACCAAAGTATGTATGCTTTTAAATTTTAATCCATTATATTTCTAGACATATTGGATTTTATAGCATGTGGATTGTGGATCATAATGTTCAGAGCAGTCACCAACATTGGTTGATTCATATGTACATCTTATAGCAATTGTTGCCCACAACATATTTATATTTCAGAATTAATGTGATACCAACATTTATTATTATTATTATTATTTAGTATTTGCAATTATTTATTTGTTTCTTTATTTATTTGTTTTGTTTTAATGTCCTGCACTTCACATGGTAGTGCATCCTTTGCTCTACAATCCACATGTTAAGGATTGCTTGCACACATTTTAATTTCATTTATATTTCTTGTTGTTTTATCCTTTCTTTCTTTCCTTCTTCTTATTCTTCTTTCTTTTTCTTCTTCTTCTTCTTTTTTTTTTATTGTTGTTGCTTAAAGGAAATAAATTTTTAATTTTTGATTTCATAATCGAGTGTATATATATATATATGTATGTGTGTATGTGTGTGAACATTCAATATCGTCATACAATTTCATTATTAATTATGTAATGTGAGTGACATTTACAATGGACTTTACTCTGCGCTCTGTTCTCACGGGTTTTAACTGCTACATCAACAAACACTCACAAAGATATATGTGTGATTATGTTATGTGTAATCTAATGACTAAAACCACGTAAAAGTAGTACCCACTTCTAAGGTCGAATATTTCCGACACATCTACCCGCCAAGAACATAAAACTAGCATCCACAAAAATATAGTTCAATTTCATATATCACATTTGAATGTCATCAATATGAAATGAAATTTGGCATGGGGATTGTTTAATTATGGGGCAAATGTAGATATTTTTATGAGTAAATTGGTGAATATTTTGCTAGAAATGGACCCCAAAGATTGGGTGATCACATAATCATAAACCATCCACAAGGGCAAGTAGGGAAGTCATGGTATGCTATGCTAGATGGACTAGTTATTTATACCACCCATTTTTGGGACTAAAAGGGCTCCACCTACTCCATATAGTTAACTTATTCAGTAAAATATGGTAAATTTTATTTTTTTTACTATACCACGATACCTCATTACCAGTATATTTACTTCTCAATTCATCACGTGTGGAACTTATTTCATCCAAAAGTTGCCTGAAATGAATTCGTTATTCACTTTGTAACATTTCAAGCGAAACATGTAGTTAATGCTCGAGTTAGATATTCAAACTCTCAAATTTGCTCAAAAATAGCTCTTAATTTCATATAAAAAAGTACATAGTGGAACTGTGGAAGTGGTTTTTATAGCTTTTGTGTGTGTTTTGATGATTAAATCCTTAAAAAAATAGTACAAAATATATGCACACCTACAAAATTGATTTACTATGACTATGAGTATGCAAAAGGTGGCATTTTGAGTGACAAAATATCCCAATTAAGATACATACATATTTGAAATATTGTCCAACTTTTTTTAATTTATTTGGGCCTTTTGTTGACTGTAATATTATTGGATTTGGGATGCATAAATCGCGGCAAGAGTGTATAGATATGTATGATATGATGATTGTCACAAGTGGGGCAATATATATGTGCCCTTATCTTAGCATGATTTTTTTTTATTTTCTTTTCTTTTCTTTTTTTTTTCCATTTTTTCTTTTATTATTTTAAGGTTTTGTTTGGGATATGTTGAGATGAATGAGTAAAGGGGACACATTGCTGCCCTAAAGTATCAACAAAGATACACATGAAAGGGATGTCACATGGGGCTAACAATTAACAAACAACAACAAAGCTTTTTTGTACAACCCATTTAGTTCCAATATTGAAAAATGAAAATTTATATCCCTAAATGAGAATAAGTTACAAAAATGTATAATAATATTAACAACTAGACACAATAGTTAAAGCTAGCTTTTTAGCTAATATGTAGGTAAGTGGATAACTTGTAATTTTGCACCTTATGACTTATAACTTATGATTGAAAAATTAACTGATATAATATTAGTATTTGATAAATTAGCTGATAAATCAACTTAAATAAATTATTCAATGATTTTTTTATTAAGTTGCCTAGAGAAATTCATGAGATAAGCTCTAACTTAAAAGCTCATTATACTAAATCAAACTTATT